CTTCAGACCAACCAGTCTGAAAATACTGGGTGAGTCTGCCTTCAATTCTAAATGAAAGAAAGTGTTAATCATGAACTTAAGAATTTAAAGTATCTAAAAATAAACAGCAAAATACTAAATAAAATTTTAATCTTAGAAAGCTATAAATGGACTAAGGGAATTGGAATATTGAATTTTTTACAGTAATTTTGTTTTTTTAAAAACAATTTTATTTCAATTTTATTTCTTTTCCCCTTTATCCTCCCCCTCTTTTTCTCACTTCAATTTTTGTCCTCCTTCCCTCTTTAATACTTCCTTCTGTAATCCTCCCTTCTGCTTTTTTTAAATATTTTGTTTATTTCTCACACTGTTCCTTTTTCTGATTAACTCCTCCAATTTCCAGTTTTTAAGTCCCTTTCCCCCCTTTTTAAGTTTCAAACCTCGTTGTCCTGATTTTTTTTATTAAAGATGGCCTCTCCTTTATTCAAGTCGTCTTCTTCCTCTGAAGCTTTTTGCTGATCCTCATAGTCCAAGACCGCCATTTCCAGAGATTGCAGAACAAAGCCAAACGATTCTCCTTTTACTTGCAATTGTTCCTTCATATTTTTTAGTACCATTTTCAGTTCCAAATAAAGGTCTGTCATCTTTCAACACTTCCCAGTACTTTTAGACAACCAAATTCTATAGGATTGCTTCCCAAAATTAATTTCAATTATATCCACTAGTAATCCAATGTCCAAAGTTTCCAAGATCCTCAAACAATTCCAGAACAGTTTCTTCTTACTTCTTTCTTTGTTGCAAAGTTCCAAACTCCACTTTCACTGTCTAGGGGCTCTATTTGATTGTAGCAACATTTCATTTACTTTGTTATTCTTTAAAAGTCTTTTAAAAGTTTACATTAATTTCTTTCAGCATCAGGTGGCACTCTTTAGTATGTCCAAGTTTCACCCACTTTTTTCAAAAATTTCCCCCCTCTTCTGTGCCACAGCTTAAAAATCTTTTCCTAATAGTTCCTAAGTATTTTAGCTCCAGGGTACCTTGTATTCAGATGTTAATCCTGCTTAGACCCTTTCTTCTCTCCGCTCCTGCATGATCTTGTCTGGTCAGACCTTCCTCTTTGGGATGGCCATTTTGGCCATCGCTGCATCTGCCTTCGGAGAGGAGTTTTATGCCTAGCCAAGGAGGGGGAATGTGGCTCCCCTCAACTCAGCTGGCATTCTCCCCTTTCTCTGCCACCTCTATGGGGCGGCTTCGGCCCCAAATCAGGTAGATCGGGCCTCTCCAGCAACGAGCACAAACTGAAACTGCAGATGGTCACGGATTCGGTCCATCACTGAGGGAGCCTAACCAGAAGTCCTACAATAATTTTGAATTAATTTCAAAAAGTGAACAGCTTCTCATCAGGAATAGATTCTATTTTGGGTTTTGCTGAACAAAAGAAAGTAATTTAATGATTTTTTTTAAAACTACACTGGGGAGACAAAGATTTTAGGTAGAGAATAGAATAGAATAGAATTCTTTTATTGGCCAAGTGTGATTGGACATACAAGGAATTTGTCTTGGTGCAAATGCTTTCAGTGTACATAAAAGAAAAGATACATTTGTCAATAGTCAAGAATCATAAGGTACAGCACTTAATAATAGTCATAGGGTACAATAAGCAGTCAAATCATACTAGGAAACAATCAATATAAATTGTAAGGATACAAGCAACAAAGTTACAGTCATGCAGTCACAAATGGGAGGCGATGGGTGATAAGGAGTGATGAGAAGATTATAGTAATAGTAGTGCAGACTTTATAAATAGTTGGACAGTGTTGAGGAAATTATTTGTTTAGCAGAGTGGTGGCATTTGGGAAAAAACTGTCCTTGTGTCTAGTTGTTCTGGTGTGCAGTGCTCTATAGCAGTGATCCCCAACCTTTTTTACGCCG